GAGGTCGAGGGTTCGAGCCCCGGCCGGACCAACACTCAAGGTCTTAAAATAATTATTGAGAAGAATATGCTACCTTTCTATAACATCAAGAAATGGTTAGATATTCTAGTCTTCTCAGATAGGGATGAATAAATGGAGGTCCTGTCTCCTGCAGGATTAGGGGTAAGAGACGTTAATTTCCCACACGTGAGATTACTGTGTGATGGATGTCCTCCCCTGGGGTGGGGTGGGTGGGTGTGAGGGCTGCAGGTTAGAAAACTGTATAAGGTTAGTGAGCTTCCCTCCTTAAATAAAGTTATTAATAATGGTAATTGAACTGAGTGGAGTGTAATTTGGGCTGAAATCATACTTGTGATTTCAAAATCAAACAAGCGCGCAGCGCGAGTTCAATTTGAAATTACAAGTATGATTTCAGACCAAAATTGCACGACACAAGGTTCAATTACCACTTTATTACATCCATTTTGAAATCGCCCAAATACAGGAATTGGTCAATTCAAATATTTTACTAATGCAGTACTGAGCTGGTTTTTAAATAAAAAGTGGAACCGGAAACGCGTTTACATCTTATTTTGTATACAAAACAGAAAGACTTTGACATCATGTGTCAAAAACTCAGTCAAGCATAAAATGATGTGATTTAGAGCAAAAAATGGTGCGATTTGGGAATAAATCGCACCAATTAGAGCCAATCAGAATACAGGGACCACCAGTGATTTCAAAATGGATGTAATAAAGTAAGTAAGTACTATCAGCGATTAACATTTCTTAGAATGTTAACTTAGTTATAATAATTTGGCATTGAGTGATATTCCACAGCATCATGCTGAACAATATTATTCATATTTTGTGAACATGATAATTGAGTGGTCTAGATGTAGTAGTTGTGAAGGTATGGCAGCCTCCTGGTTAGTGCACTTGACTCCAGATTGAGCAGTCTGAGTTTGAGCCCCAGCTGGGGACATAGTATTGTGTTCTTGGGCATCAGATACTTTACTCTCACAGTGCTCCTCTTTACCCAGGTGTTTATATGGTTACTGGCAAATTTTATGCGGGGGGGTAACCCTGCAATGGACTAGCATCCCATCCAGGGGAGATTAGAAATACTCCCAGTCATTTCTGGTACAGAAACTGGAGATAAAGATCAGATGGACCATATGGCTCATACATAGACTTTTACATGTAGTAGCCCACCATAGAGAGTGTTCAAAGCTCAGCCAGAGCATCCAGGCAGAGAATCCAAAAATCTGTGGTGTAATCTTACTGCGGGGTTTTTTTCTTTGTTCTATGCTGGTGGCAATTAGACCAAAAATAACTTGCTTGACACCAAAATTGTTTAAAGAAATAAGTCGTTGATAATAATTTGCATCTCAATGTGAAAATTGTTATGTTTTTATTTAGTTCAATAAAAGTAATAAAAAATAGATTATAACAATTAAAATACTAGGGAATAAGGCAACAGGACACAAAGTTCCTCACAAGGTGAAGGCCTTGACACACTATGACTAATCCCCATCTCAAGAGCAAGTCATGAGTACAGAGTTACAATGTCAACCGCTTGACATTTAGGACCAATTATTTTATTAAGATCTTACATTATACAATGAATATATGAAGTTCATATATTTTGAACTGTGGTATTAGATACGTATGATGCACGACCCTCGCAGTAGAGAGTAGTAGATCCTCACAGTAGAGAGCTTGTTAGCTCAATTGCTAGAGCGCTGCACTAGTATCGCAGAGGTCAGTAGTTCGAATCCCGTACAGACCTGATTTTTTTCAGGTCTGATTTTTTCTATTGCATAAATGGCGCTCTCTACTGCGAGGATCGTGCATCATACGTATCTTACATTATCTTGAACAAAAACAATCCTTAGGCAATCAAAAAATGAGGCCTTTAGCTGACTTCTGAATGGACATTGAGTTTATCAGGGGACGGATGCACCCCAAATAGTAGTAAAATAATACATATGAAAAAAATGAATCTAAAATTGGATGTTCTAGGAAAGCAGTTTGACTTGAAAGAAAATGCTGATATTTGCTGCTTTCTCCCATGCTGTCTTAGGCACAAGCAGCAGATTTTGATGCTTAGAAAATTTAAAGGCATGCTTAGCCTGTTAACCCTTTGGCTTGCATGATCTGATATTTAATTCTCCCCTCTAGCAGCCAGATATTTCTTTGTAAATTAGTTATGAGAATTTAGTGTTAGATGAAGATAACAACTTCTACCTGATAGGTTTGAGGATTCTCATTACCTGTTTGCTGGAGAATGCAGGAATCGATATTAGAGGGAGGAGTTGCCTGTTAATCACTTCTGGTCATTAAAGAGCAATTGAATAGATCATAAAATAATGGTACACTGTACAAGAGACATAGGGTTAATAGCCCATTTCCAAATTACCCTTGGCCTCATTTTCAAACGAGTCCTGATGCTCATCCTTTCATATGATAATAAGTTTTCATTCACATGCAAATTAAACTCATTTTCACAAGAATGCCGGTTGAGCACCAGGCCTCGTTTTGAAAAAAGAGGCCAAGGGTAATTCGGAAATGGGCTATTGCCTGCAAACTATATAGAGGTAATCTAACCATGTTGAAACAAGGTTGTCAAAATATGCCAGCAGCCAGTGCATTTCTCTTGGAAGAAATGTGCCGGCAAATGAGATAAGCTACCCTTAAGGTGGCTGAACACAGTTTTCGATACATTTATTTCTTTCACCATTTTCTCTAAAACCCTTGATCTCTTGGTCACCAAAACTGGCAGCAAGCAAGTTAACAACACAAACTTTGCTTTTTTTTCTAGATGAGCTGACGTTTGTGCCATTGCCATGGCGACATGAATAGATATAAACAGGCAATTAAAATCAGTTTTGTTTCTTTGTAGAAAATCCAGTCATTAGGTTTTCTTTATAACTTCTATGCCACGAGCTTGTAACGATACTCACAAGTTAACACCATTTTGCTAACAATTTAACAAAGAGATCTTTAATTATCCCTTGTTGAAGGTTCACTTGATTTTCTGGAAATTCCTTTGTTTAAAATCAATTTTTTTTCAATACTTCAGTTACTTATTTCCTAAAGTATTTTCATGCCAAATTTCATGAAATTCTAACGAGTGGGTCTCAAGAAATAGGCATAATTATTTCCGAGAAAGCAATTTTCCATTCAGTTGCAAATGTTTTACTTACTACGCATGCACTGCATTTAACGGGGTTCTTTCAGTGACAACAAAAAAGCTGAGAATTGCGGGGTTCTTTGCACCGTTGACTTTTCTAACATATCTTTGTAATAAAAGATTAAAACCTTCAATACACTGCGCCAACTATAGAGAAAAATAGTATAGAGAGTGCAGGTACGTGTTGAGTAAATAAAATGTCCACTCTATTGACGGCACGCTTGTTCTTTACACTGCTTGTTCGTGCGCTGAATTGCATCGGCAAAATCGCGCACGAAAACTGTGTTCAGCCACCTTAAGAGCGAGGAAAGTTTAAATTTTCCTTCAAGTTAGCAGTTTCTCAAAGAAGTAAAATTTCTCTTTTTCCACTGGACTTTGTTCTTTAACTCTTGAATTATGCCTAACTTAAATAACTGATATTTTCTGCCACAGATGTCAGATGTTGATGACTGGTGTCTTGCCCGTGACAGTTTGTTTCCTATTAATTTGAAAGAAGTATCCCCACCAGAAGAAAAAAAGCGAACAGTGAAAAGCTCAACAACCAACCTATCTCATCGTAACTTTCTTCTTGGAGCAATATCTCTTTTGATGTTGCACTGGTTTGCACACTTGCTAGAAAACTGAATTCATGTTTGAAGCATGATTTAATTTTGATTTATCTGGGGTCCTCTCTAGCTTTAGGAAATTGTCTTTTCAGAGGTGTTTCTGATTTAGGGAGGGTGTTTTAACAACCATTTTGATTTGCAAAGCTCCAACCCTTACATAGAGAGAGCTCTGTACTTTACACTGGAAACCTTGTTAGGGATCAATCTAAGCTCTACACTTTGGCAGAGTACTAATAAATAGAGGTAATATTTTCAGCCACAATATGGATGATATATATATTTTTTTGGTGATCTTTCTTTGTCCAAGAAGTGGTTCATGTAGCCTGCAGTGCTGGCGGATTTTGGCGGGGGCAAGTAGATATTCCTATCGGTTGTTCAGGTCGCCATCTTGAATTAGAAAAACAGTGGAGAGTTGGGGCAAGGCAAAACGTTTGGGGAAGGGGGAAATGGGAGGGGAAAGGATTTTTTCTTCCCCTCTCTGCTCCCCCTCCCCATTTTTTCTTTTCCCTACCCCTCTCTCCTTCCCCAAACGTTTTACCTCGCCCCAA